CCAGGTAACCTTCAGGGAATTTCAAAATAAACATTTTTTTTAATCTACAGTGATAGATTGTTCTACTTCCACTATCCATGTCTAGGGATGTTCTTATTTACAGACTTACTCAGTAGAAGGCTTACAACCACATCATACAATCACCGAAGTTAAGCAATGTCGAGCCCTGTCAGTACCTAGATGGGTGAGTGCTTGGAAATACCAGGTGCTGTAAGCATGGATGTGCTGATGATGTAATGAATAATGGCTTGGATTTTTTAACCGGAGAGCCAAGTTTCAATTCCAGTTAGGTTTGTTATAATCACTTATGCAAAAATACCCTTGGGAAAGGTATGGATCCACCTCTTCTCCCAGCTATGGGTTAATTAGTAAAATTTGTATTGTTGAATGATTATTATCCTCGCCCCCAAAAAAGTTTTTACTGTCTAAAAATATTTTCTGCCTTTAAATAACCTGCAAAGGTATGATAAAGCATAGAAGACAAATCAGTCAACTCAAATTAGACTCAATGGAAACAAAGCAAGCAATGACTAAGCTTTACTAAAGAAGATTTGATTGGTTGATTGATTTGTTTTTTACAGATTATCAACCCACTTGTGGGTTATTTAAAGACAAAACATAATTTGAATTGTAAAATTTTTTCTTCTTTTGAATACTGCATTTTTGAAAAATATTGCATAAACAATTTTTTGAAAATAATGATTTTTTTCAGAAACTATTTAATCAATATCTAGAGGGTGTAGATGGATTCAGCTCTTTTCCAAGGGTAGTTGCTTGCAAGTGAATGTAACAGACCTGACAGGAATTTGAACTTGACTCTCTGATTTCCCCTTGCTATTATATCACCTGCACATCCACCTATTAAATAAGGACACGGTGAGATATCCTTAGACATGTACAGTGGAACAATAGTTTGAGTTTAAGTAATGCTAAAAATTTTATAGAAATCAACAAATTTTAAGTAGATTTTTAAAATCTGCTTGTTTATTGCAAAAAGTTTTTCTTTTGAATATTATAATGAATTAAATGTCGCATGTCTTTATACAGCCTAAACAACTTTCAAAATGCAAATATCTCTAGTTCCCTACAATGAGTGCAGATAATTTTTATATTAAAATTTTCTTCAATTTTTTTTCTTACTAATAGCACAAATATTAAAATAGCCTTTATATAAGTTTAAAGTTTAGGGTGTTTTTTCATCAGCTATCACTTTTTCATGAAACACACATGGAGATATAATGTAGAACTAAAACACATTTTCATGGTCAGATATCAAAATTATACATTTACTAGAAATACCTGTGAAAATTTTACAGTTTTCCTATTTTAATATTCTGATGAATCTTAATTCTTAATATTAATAGTTAATAGTTGCAAGTTCTACAACAATAAAATATCCGTAGAAATTCCCCTATCATATCATTAAATATTTGAGCTTAACAACTTTAACAAAATATTGTAATAACAATCATAAATATGAATGCTGGTCATTATTTTAAGAAGTAAGGAGGTACAAATGAAAAGATTTGAAATTGACAACATTTTCCATTTCACTAAAACAGCTATTTCAACATTTCTATCTTCCCTTCTTTTTTTCTATCTTTCATTTTTTCACTGAAACCAAGTAGTGTCTTTTCCACTCTTTCTGCATATCAAAACATAGAATAGTCCATTATTTATGAGGTATTGATAGGACATAACAGTCATGCTAACTAATAACAGGAGGGACAAACCCAATTATAATAGGATTATTTAAATATTTTATTTCATTGTTATTATGAAGTTAGTATTTACTACTACTACTACATTTCAGTATTCTTATGTATATTACTAGAATTATAATAAAATGTAGTTGAAGGTTAAGTTTTAACATCCTTCAATGCCTGACCGTCAGAATTTAGTATGCTTTAGTCCCCCAGTAACACCTAAAAGTTATGTTATCGTTTAGAGTTATTACATAATCAGATGATTTTTTTTTACACTCACCCTAATTTCCTCATCTTTGTTATTATTATCACAACATTTTGACCATTGTCCATCCAGTCTTCTTCAGGTGTCTGTCTTATGGGTTTATTGAGTTGTGCTAGAAGGTATTTCTCATCAGAGTCCATCTCACACATCTACAAATTTCATCCTTGCATTGAATACTGTTACCATATTTGGTCTGGTGACCCTGAGCTTTCATCTCAAGTTTCTCGACTAAATCCAAAGAAGGATCTGTAATGTAATCGGTCCTGAATTGGCTTCTCAACTTCAGACACTCTCTCACAGATGTGATGTGGCTTCTCTCTGTCTTTTCTATAAATATTTTCATGCCCACTGCTCTGACAACTTTTTTTCCCCTGGTGCTCTGACTACATGAATTCAAGGATGCTACTAGATTGGCATCTAGGTCCCACCCATTTACTGTCGAAATAGTTAAATGTAACTGCCACTTCTACTCCAACAGTTTCTTTCCTTGCATTTCCCGACATTGGAACTCCTTTCCTCTCATTTGCTTCCTTGATAACTACAATGTTCAAAAATTTAAATGCAATGTCACTCACCATCTTCTGTTGCCTTAATCCCTGTCCTTTTTATCCTTTCCTCAATCCCCCCTACACCCACTCTTTTCTCCCTTTCACTCTCCATAACCCCCTGCATGCTAGTGGCACTCCTCCCTTGTTTGGAGTGAAATGCTTAAAAAAAAGATAAAAATAAAACAATCATTAATACTTCCAAACAAGGTTTTTATTGTTTACATTATTTACATTATTCAATCTGTTATCCTCATCTTCATTGCCATATTCACAATGTTTCGGCTATTGTACACGCCAGCCTTCTTCAGGTGATTGGAATTGCAAACCAAACCCTTTATTTCATCCACCGGGGTAGATTGTTCTGGTTCCATATGCCATGCCTCTTCCAGATGTCCCAGTTATTTCCCTTTAACTCAACTCTCCAAGTTTTTTGATTCACCACTGCTGTAGCCTGGTATTTAACTCACAACCTTTTGGGTCTAGCCACTGGATCTAACCAATGCCTTTATCCACTGGGCCATGTGTCCTTGAGGAAATAAAGGGTTCAGTTTGAAATTCCAATCACTTGAAGAAGGTCGGAGCATACAATGGCCAAAGCATTGTGAATATGACAATGAAAATGAGGATAACAGTCTGAATAATGTAAAAAAATGTAAATAATAATAATACCACATTTATATAGAGATATAGACAGATATTGAAGGTTCTTATTGTTTCATGAAATACAAAGGCTAAAAAAAGCCTAAAATCAAAACATAATATATACTTACTACCTTGATTGGGTAAATAAGAAAGAAACAAACAAGACCCTATCACCAAAACACTTTGCTGTTGTTGGCTGCTGCGGAAAGTAGCTTTGCCCTCGTAGCCACTCAATGAATTAAAGGCACCTGATTCAAAAAAGATGTTGAATCATGGGAGTTGTTGGATCACCAGATTAAAGTAGCGACAAAAGAGAAGAGTTTCTGAATGCAAATAGTCTTAATAATGATATTTCCTCATCCCAGAAATTACATTTTTTTTGGTAGATACTAGTCAATGCTCAACTATTTGAATAGGTGTTTGTGGGTGAGATAGTAAAATATTTCCTACTAGCACGAGTTCTTAGTTTTCTTCAAGCCCAGATAAAATCAAAGTTTCAAATGCTATTTTCTAGGTGTGCAGGCCCTTCTCATTTGGAAGATTGACACTACATAATCTTCCTATCTCTGTTATTCCATAATATAGCTTGGTGCTTTAATAAAAAGGAATCAACTGTAGTTAGGATCCTCAACTCAATATGAATAATCCTTTCCTTAGCTGCATAGTATGTGCTTCACCAGGACTACACAACAGTTTTGAATTTAAAGTTTCCCTTCTCCTAGACCAGTTGACATTGAAGGCTGTAAAACCAAATCTGTCCTACTATTACTCATAACTGGTTAGGGCGGAGGGGGTAGAATAGTTGGATTCATATCTTTGCCAAGGGTATTAGTACATAAGTGAATGTAATCAGCTCAACTGGAATTTGTCAGTCCAAGCCACAATCCATTACTCTACCATGCCTTGCTGCTTTACTTAAGCAGTAAATATCACCTTGTATGTCTACAATTAGTATTCAATTGTATGAATGCAGTTTGGTGGTTATCATCATGGGAAATAAAATTGGTGTGCTGAGTTCAAACTCCAGCCGAGGTTTGTTGCTTTTGTATAAATACCCTTGGTAAGGGATGAATCCTTCTCTTATTCCCCACCCAGCTAGATGTTACTAGGTCATAATGCGCTCTTTAGCTTTGGCTAGCAACCAGTTTAAATGAAGGACAATTCTGAATTCAAGACTGGTTGGGCATGGGACCTACAACTACACTTCATAAAAACCTAACTGCAACAGCAACATGATGAGGTTGTGAACCTAAAATCCACAAGGGAGTTAACAATGTTAATAAGTGTTCAAGATATGATTTTCAGGATTGGTGCCACATAATCTTCCTAATCCTATTCCCTCCAATTAACCTTTGAATAATGAATATCAGGTAGGCAGTCCCCCACACACACACACACACACTTGAAAGATTGATGCTATACAATCTCCTCAAGTTCCTTACTTTTGGAGGTGCACGTGGTGTAATGGATAGCCGCTCAAAATGAGAAATTGGAGAGCTAAGTTCGAATTTCAGCCAGGTTCATTACTTTTACTTATGCATAAATACCCTTAGGAAAGGTGATTGATTGATTGATTCATTTTTTTTTATGGCTTATCAACTCTTTTGCAGGTTATTTAAAACCATAAAATATTTTTACATTGTAAGATTTTTGGTGGGAGAAATAATATTGATTTACTGATACAAGTTTTATTAATTAACCTATAGCTGGAGGCAGATTCATACCTTTCCCAAGAGTATTTGCACATAAGTGAATATAATGAACTTAAATGGAATTGGAACTCAGCTCTCTGATTAACAATTCCATGCTATTATCCATTACACCAGCTGCACATCCAAGCTTACAGCACCTGGTATTCCTAAGTGGTCACCTTGCAAGGTACTGACCAAGCTTAACACTGCATAACTTTGGTGATCATATGGGAACCGATGTTTCAACATGATGTGGCCATAAGCCTGGTAAATTATGAATCTATCTCCTCATCCCAGCTATGCATTAAATAGTAGAACTTGTACCTGGAAAAATCATTGTTATATCCAAAGAATTATTAATGCAATAGTTACTTGCACAAAAAAAAATTCTTACAATCCAAAATATGTTTGATAAGTGTTGATAAACCATAAAAAAATTCAACCACTCAGTACTTGATGTCTTCATTTAGCTTAATGTATTAAATAATTCAGAATATTCATTTTCATTCCTTAGCAAATAACTAAGAATTATACTATTTTCAGTAACATTCCCATTAAAGCCTTTTAATTGTTATTTGTATTTTGGGATTTATTTTCACTAACATTCCCATTAAAGCCTTTTAATTGTTATTTGTATTTTGGGATTTATTTTCAGTAACATTCCCATTAAAGCCTTTTAATTGTTATTTGTATTTTGGGATTTATTTTGTCTAACATTCCCATTAAAGCCTTTTAATTGTTATTTGTATTTTGGGATTCATTTTGTCTAACATTCCCATTAAAGCCTTTTAATTGTTATTTGTATTTTGGGATTTATTTTCACTAACATTCCCATTAAAGCCTTTTAATTGTTATTTGTATTTTGGGATTTATTTTCAGTTTCCACATGAGGAAATATACACTGAATGATCAACAAGAAAGCATTCAAGAACCAAAACTACATCATTTGACTACAGATAAATATGGATCTTGTCTACAAACTTGTGCTGTTTATTATTTCAAAATGTTGATGACACTTTTATAAATCCTACACTTTGACACACATGCAACATGCTGACATAATTTGATGGGCAGAGTTTGCTATAATCAAACTGTTTAAGCTCAAACTGTGATCTATTATTACTTGTAGTACACTAAAACTACTGCTACATGATTACCTGGTAGTCAACAAACTCAAATATCTAGCAGAGTACTAAAATACTAGTATAGTACTAAAATAGTAGCATAGTGCTAAAATAAATAAAAAAGAAATGAGTGGATTAGTCATGTATGGATTTGCACTTCTGCTTAAGATCAAAATATCATTACTTGGCCCTCTACCTCAGATTAGTATGTAGTATCTGTGCTCCCTACTTAAGCTCAAAGTGTTGCTCCTCAACACTTTTTCCACAGGATTAATGTAGTACCTGTGTACTCTTTAACCTTTATCACTCTGCATCATTAATATTTCTTCTCTTTTTAATTTATTTTTTTTTCATTTTTATTTTAAACAGCATTTTTATATTTTAAAAAAGTACAAAATAACAATGTACTGTTTCAGTAATGCTAGTTGTTAATTTTTAATTTTAAATTATTTACTAAACTTAGCTTAGTCAGGCACAAGGCTACAGTCGAGAAGGACACGGTGTAAACTGGTCTATGACACAAGCTTGCCAACCATTTTGCTTAGGTAAGCAGCCTAATCATGTAAAATATTTACAGCATAAACATTTAAAAAAAATTTCTGGAAAAAAATAAGAAAAAAGTCAAGGGGAGACTATCTTGTTATATTCAATCCCAATTTCAAAGCCTATTTTGAATTAAAATTTTTAGATTTTTTTTATCAATAATGTTAAAAAAATAAATTGATATTTTTTATTTAAAAACTGTTAAATTCTGTTTGACTACATTTTCTACCAATTTAATCTGCACTTAATTTTAAAAAAATTTTCTTCTGGCAAAAAAAAATCCTTATATAAAACAGTCATTCACAATATGATATATTTAAAATCTTGCATACAACAATCATTTACCATAAATTATTAAATAGTCACTGATGTGAACAAAAAGAAAAACTATGTACCCAACTCTGTAGAATGATTATATGTCCAGTGATGTAATGGAATAACCTGTCACCCCCATGAGTGACTACACATATAGGTAGTAACTACCTATAAGTATCTGTAAGTCAACGGACAACAGAGACTAGCTGGGATCTGTTGAGTACAACTCAGACTTATGCAAGAACTGCCGACCTTTCAATAGTAGCACTCACTACTGGATTGACTTGTGACGACCTTGTGCATAACTGTTACCTTTATTCTTGTTGTATTGGTTTTTACAATAAACCTTTACTTATTTTATCCATCTTGTTTTTCAAGTATATATTCTTATTAGAACGGAATATAACACCCAGTTAAAACTGTCCTCTGTAAAAAATGAATATTTAGCAGAAATTGTAAGTGCCACAGCCACAATAACTATGGATACGTTATCAACACCAGATAAAAATTTTAAAGATCAATCACCAGACCCATATTCAGATGAGCATGATGAAGAGGACATTAATGGTCACCTGATGCAGCAAGAGCTGACCCCTACTACTGCTCCCAACTTCAACAGCAAACGTCCTTTCAAATGTCAAATCTGCCGAAAAGGTTTCTCCCGTAAGGCAAATTTAGAAAATCATGAAAATGCTCCAGCTTCAGAAACACATTTTAACTGTACTTTCTGCATGAAAGCATTCAGCCAACGGGCTGAACTAGTCAACCATATGCGCACACACACTGGCGAACGTCCTTTTAAATGCTCAATGTGTGACAAATCTTTTGCTCACAAGAGCACGCTCATCAACCATGAACGCATTCACACAGGCCTGAAGCCGTTCATCTGTATGATTTGCCTGAAGTCGTTTAGTCACCGAAGCACACTCATCAACCACAAGATTACACACAGTGGGGAGAAGAGGTTTGTTTGTGTCATATGTCTGCGAGCTTTCGGTCACCGCAGTACACTTCTGAACCATGAACGAACGCACACTGGAGAAAAAAGCTACAAATGTTCTGTGTGCGAGAAGTCATTTGCACACAAGACAACCCTGAACAACCACATGCGGACACACACAGGTGAAAAACCATACATTTGCTCAATTTGTAATAAGGCTTTCTCGCACCAGACAACATTACTTAATCATAGACGCACACACAAGTCCAATGATGACATCTCCCTTTGCCAATTGTAAAGGTTTCTGAACTGACCTTTTGGTATTTAAAATAACTATAATCTAGTCTCAGTCCATGTAACTTTCTGTTTTTGCTTTTGAAAAAGAGATTAATTAAAATTTTAAAATACTTTTCTTTTAGGACCCTATCACAGTTGATAATAAAAATTAGTTATGGAGAAGTGGTTTACCCAAATTCTCACTTCATCTCTTCTTCATCAACCAGTGAAAAGACATTTTGTTACAATACTTAAGATAGAGAAACGGGGACAAGTGCATTTACACATTTCCTCAAAGCATTAGTTCAATTCACTTTCTTTTGTTGAGAACCATTTAACCACTTTATACATCAAGTTTTAAATATTATCATCATAATCAACTAATTTTCTGTTTTGTCCATGTTGGGTTTTTATTTCTCCAATGTCTATTATGCGACTCCAGTGGTTTCCCTTACTTGTTTATTGATTGGTTGTGTGAGACAAGACCCACTGCAGGAATATGTCTGATATTGGTTGGTTTGACGATTTTCTTATTTTTGGTTGAAAAATGAATCCTTAGAAAATTTTAAAAACAAAACAAAACTATTGAACACTTTTTTTTATTTTTTTGATCTCATATTTTATTTTATTTTATTTTTTTTTTTAAAGAGAAGATAACTATTATCTAAAGTCAACAGCTTTAAATAGTACTCATGGGATATTTAACAGTGATATTTAAAGGGGCGATAACTGTGTATGAAAACTGTATTTGAGAAATTTGTCCACGCTTGGTTTAAAACCTTATCTTTACATTTAACAGGTTTTTGTTTAGTTACTTGTTAATATTGAATGATTTTTTTTTAGAATACTGTTATGGCTATGTTTTTAACGTTTCTGTTGTTGTAATTTCCAACATTTTTCAAGTGAATGTCTCCGGTGTTGAATCTTTGTACAAAAGGTTTTGGTCCTGAACTACTTTGGACTAGAAATGCATAAGCAAATGTAATTTTTTTTTTTTATGTGAAAATATTGTTAATGTTGTTAAAAGCCTTCAGAAAGGCATCTTGAAAATACAAGATCTTATAAAAAAAAAAAAAATTTCAAAAGAACCCAAAAAACAGTTGTTGTTGTTTTACTTGTATTTAATTTATGCTTCTTGGAATTCTGAAATGAACAATTACAACCTGTCCCAAAATCGTTTAACATTTAAAAGGCGGGAAAAGATTTCATGAACATTGTATGCCAAGGAGGAAAAAAAAAAAAATTCAAAAATTAATTCTTGTAAATTGGAGCTTTTATTCTTATTTTTCACTTTAACTATATACAAAAACTATAGAAATGATTCTTCCCAGGGCTGCTGAAGGCAAACTTGATTAAAACTAGGGCCAGCAAAAGCACACCAGATTCAAATCCAGGGCCTTCTCACTACTGTTAAAGAACCTCCCTCTGATTGACAATGTCTTCAGGGATGTAGCTGTACTCACAATTATGTGTTTCTGAGGCTATTTAACACATAGTTGGAAGTTTGAGATTCAAAGTTGTACATCTCCTAGACCGGTTGCCACTCAAGGACATATTTTTTCTGCTATTTGCCCATAGCTGGGGAAAGAAGAGATGGAGTCATACCTTTCCCAAGGGTATTTGCAAGTAAGTGAATATAACAAACTCAACTGGAATTTGAACTTGGCTCTCCAATTCTCCAATCTGAGCCACTATCCGCTACTCCACTATGCCTCCATAAAAATGATACACTCTTTTAAATTGAAAAATAAAGGAAAATGGTAATAAAACGAATGTGAAGTTCCTAAATTTAATATTTTCTGTTAAGGATTATTATCCTCATCTTTGTTGTTGTTATAAAAAATATTTTGGTTGTAGTGCCCGCCCAGTTCAATAATCTCTGTCTAAATTTCTGGGACGAGAAGTTATCGTTATTTAAACTATTTACGTACAGACTATTGTCCTCATCTTTGTTGTTGTTATCACATTTTGTCTGTTGTGCACACCAGCCATCATCAGGTATATGTTGATCCAGGTAACCTACAGGGAATTCCGAACTGAAACCTTTATTTAATCTGCGAGGG